CAATCTAATCGAACTATGTCCACATGCAGCTCAATGAGGTTCTCTGGGGACATCTGGCGTATGGCGAAGTATTTTCTAATGAGGTTCGTGCATTCGGATGTGTTGAGGTGGAGACATTTGCAGGGACTTCCGTAGCCGTTCGTTTCAACGATACTACAGGCATAGCCTCGGTCAACGGCATTCCAATTAGTTCTACCAACTTTGACATTGCTGGAGAAATTTATGTCTTCCATGGAATTGAAGGCGTTCTCGCCGATTCGGAATACGTTCCGTGTTCCGCAGATCCCCTTGACTTTTCCTCGGTAGAGTTAGCTGGAAACTACAGCACGTTTCTCAGTTTGGTGGCTCAAACAGGCCTCGTCGACGAACTCAACGAGGTTCGACCCGTCAGTAAGTGGATAATTCTGCATTCGAATTCACTGTCTGCTAGACTGTTCTGGATGAACTCATTCTGTTGCCCTGGTGCTTCTTTTTGCAGCAATTCTGGCGCCCACCGACGCGGCGTTTGCACGGTATCAAAGTAACTTGACAGGACTATCGGACGAGGAGATTGCAGAAGGTACGTTCTGAGATTCTTCTAGCTGTTTCACGTTTGTTGCAAATATCGTCAGCATTCCAACTCACTATCTGGGCAACGGTCATTTTTCTTTCGTAGTACTTCGCATTCATGTCATTGCATTTGACACCATTGATGCACAGTGGATCCTTGATTCAGAGTGCATGGAATTTTTCACGGAAGGGGGGTCCATGGTCAGTTTCAGATACGACAATGTTACTGAGCAAATCACCGTCAATGGAATCCCCCTTGTGCAGGCCGACATTCTTGGTAACTTTGGAGTCTTGCATGGTATTGATGGCAATTTTGCTTTTGATGGACAATATGAACCCTGTTTTGAAGATCCGTATAGTGTAGTTGGATATCTCACGTCCTACTATGACCAACAAGTCACTGAAGCGGCAGTGGCGGCATTTGCATCAAGTGCAAGTAAGTGCTCTGAAGATATTCTTTCTCCTCTTCTTGACATGTAACATTTGACTAATTGATACTATTCTCGATACACAGCGTTTTTCGGACCAACCGACGAGGCATTTTACTCTCTTGATGAATATCCATTTTACAGTGATGATGCTGCCGAGAGAGAAGTCGAGGTAAGTGCACTTACGTTCGTCTTGCAGTCTTCTTTGACGTCATGGTATGTACTAATGATGGATTCTTTTTTTCTTCTTCGCCCCAAATCGCAGTTGTTGCTCGGACACATTGTTCCAGGTATCCACACAGCTGCACAAGTAAAAGAAGCTGGATGCGTTATTCTCGATACTTTGGCTGGAACTAAGGTCCGTGTCATGTGGGTGGAAGGCGATATGGGTGGGCGTCGTTTAGCGGGCCATGAAATGACTGGAATGGTGATGGTAAATGACGCCATGGTCATTCTTGCCGACCAATTGGACGAAGAATCTGATGTTATGTTCCATGGGATTGACAAGGTCATTCTTTCGGGATCCTTTAGCGAGTGCCCGTCTACCATGTCCCCAGTGACAGCTCCAACCGATGCCCCAGCACCCAGAGGGACTCCACCAACCGAATCGAGTGCCGCCTTTTTCAATCATGTCAGCATTATCTTTGCCTCCATGGTTGCACTGCTTGCTCTTTAGAACCTTTGGGTTGGAAATGTTTGTCGGTGGTTGCTCTTGTCTCCTTTAATGCGACCCGATTATTGCAATGTGATGCACTTTTTTAATTACAAAACATTCATTCAATTGAATTCGAATAATAATTATTTTTGTTTGTGATCCCACTCTCCAACGTGGTTAGTAGTTGTACATCTCGTTTCATAATTGGTGGCTAGATATTGTCCTAGCCCACGCAGGCTTTCCGGGTTCCGATCCGGGTGAGACGCAGATTCGGGCCTCGAAGAGTAGAACTTGAAGAGTTCCAACTCGAAGAGTCCACGAACTTGAAGTCTCCGCAAGATATAAATCCTGCGTCCTTTTCTTTCCCATGGACGGGTGGGCGGGATTAAAAAAATTTCTACCTATTGCTGGAGTCTGAAGGTGTTTTGCTCAAGTTCCGAGTTGGATTGATTTGTGTGCTTTTTGATGCAGCTGCAAGTCATTTCAATTCGGAGCTTTTTGCAGGCATTCCTCCAGCTTCGTACTTTGTACGTTCTCTTTCCTATGGTGGTCGTTCGAAGTATTCATGACCACCGGAATCTGGAATTCTTCTTCTCTCTTTCTTTCATAACCTTTCTATACGGTCAGTTGGGTAGAGTTCAGGTTAGGAGTCATACATCTCGTTTCATAATTGGTGGCTAGATATTGTCCTAACCCACGCAGGCCCTCCGGGTTCTGATCCGGGTGAGACATAGATTTGGGCCTCCAAGAGTAGAACTTGAAGAGTTCCAACTCGAAGAGTCCACGAACTTGAAGTCTCCGCAAGATATAAATCCTTCGTCCTTTTCTTTCCCCCTCTGCCTTTGTGGATGTACAACCCACAAACACTGCTCTTCCCCCCAAGCAACTGGCACTTCAGTGACAGTATAAGGTGATCTTGACTTGTTCACGAGGTTTCCATTAGGCGCCAACGACTATGTTCGTAGACCTGGGTTTCAGAGGCAATTGTGAGACGGCGACCACCGCAAATCTCTCCTGGGGAGACATGGGAGCGGCCACCGCGGCGGTAGCAGTGGAGGGACCAGAAGCGACTTTCTATGGTATTTGAAGGGGTACCATCAAATGGTAGCAGAAGGGGGTCACCTTCCAGGCGTTGTTTGTAGAGACTCGGATAAAGGTAGGTGCTGCGAAAGGAGAAAGAAGTCCATGCAATGCCATTGGCATGGCAGAAAACGGGTCCTGTACATCGGACCCGGTACGATAGTGCCCGACGGAACCACTTCCCGGTACAGAGGCCAGACCAGGCAGTGTACGCGATAATGACATTGGCCGTGCGGGTGCGTTCTGATTTAGTCACTGGGTTAAGTCGGAAGGTGACCATACCACAGTTCCTTGGGAGGTCCGCCTGCCCATAATCCTCAGGCTCCAGAATGGAGCAGTCTTCCCAATTGAGGCCAAAGCATTCAGCTGAGCAAAGCCAACCCAGCCAAAGGACCAGGTTAGCTAGCCCTGCCAGAGCAATGTCTTGGCGTTGGATGTTAGAAGTGGCTTCATGGAATTGGCGGTCCAAGAAGCGACCCAGAGCTTGAATGTGGCGATCCAAGAGGGCCACAGAAGGCCTGGAGTAGTCACCCATGCGTGCTACCATTCCCTCTGCAAACAAGTGGAATGACAAACTATCCGTCGGTTGACAATCTTGGTAGAGAACTTTGTTGTCCTGTGACATGTACGCATTTTGCGGAGTGTTGAGGGAGTCCAGAGATAGCCACTGGGAAGCTGCCAATCAGAGGGCTTGAACTGTGCCAAAGCTGATGGGAGTTTCTGCACCTCGGTTGTGCTTCTTGGTGGAATGGCGGAGGCTGTACCATTCCTGACACCACATGAGGGGGATATCAGGTCCGGAAGGAGGCTCCAGCAGAGCGGTGGGCTTCAGAACTTGGATGGCAAAATTGGTCTCAAGCTGACGGATGATACTCAGTTCTGACTTGTAGCATCCTGACTCGTTCCAACATCAAGAGGAGGAGGTCATTGGCACGAACTAGTTCATGTTGCAGGTACTGTTGCACAGTGCAGGCTTCACAGACAAAGTTGGGCCAGGTGGCATGGCGGGGGAAGGTCAATCCTTCATCACAGAGGCGGCGAGTCTTGAAGGGTTCCCGGCTCAGAAGCAGTCACGGTGATAGGTGGAGCCACAGGCACGGAATCGGCCAAATCCCTTTGCTGAAAATGTGCATTGAAGCCGCGTCTCAATCTCCTTGCGGCTGAACCCTTTCTGGCAGCCCACGCATAAGTGTGGTTTGGGCGGCATGCCAAGAGGGGGCGGCAGTGGGAGTCTTGTCCAACCTAGAATTGGGGTTGAGGGAGAGAGTGTGAGGTGCAATGTACAGGAAAACAATGGGTATTGGCAGGAGTGGCGGGAATCGTAGGTTGGTCTTGTGTGGGTAGATGGTGTCAAGTTTGTGGACGTAACGAGACATGTGTCGCCAGGAAGCTTCAACAACTCTGGGTACAAAGGTAAGGGGGCATTCAACCCAAGAGTTGAGCAGGAAGGTGAGGAGCTGGCGGGCCAGGTCCGGTGGTGGGCACCATACTGTTGTTTGGTGTAGGCAGAGGGACGCTGTCCAGGGTTGGTTCCAGGATCTGTACTGTGTCACATGGGCCATTTGGGGCAGATGGGTCCACACCAACGTCATGTCAAAGGGAACTGGATCGAAGATAGCTTGAGTGAGCCTATCAGAATGCAGACACCCAAACGCCGCAACTGAGGCCATCAGTCCCTTGGGTGATCAGCACTTGGCCTGGTACATGGACAACTTGGAGGACACATTGGAGGTCCAGTTCAAAAAGTCTGATCTCACTGATCAATTTGTGGAGGGAGCGTGTCCTAGAAGAGCCAGTGGTGGCAATCCAATAGACTCCGAGTTGTCAGTGAAGTAGAAAACGGTAGTCCCAATCACCTGGCGGGCATGGGGGCTTTCTTTGATCCGAAGCAGGGTCTCTTTCAGGGTTGCCAACTCTTTCCATACAGAAGGGAAGATGTAGATGAATGGCTTCCATTTTCCTCGCCACATCTCAAAGTCACAATTTGGGAGCTGGATGGTGCCCCCAGTGCCAGTTTCACTCCCGTCTCCAAAGGTTGGGACTAGTGTTGCAGCTTCCCATCCTCTAACAAAGAGTCCTTCACTCCGAGTGAGGAACTGTCGCCACCACTGGAGTTCGTCGAGGACTTCCAAGTTGAGGGAGGTGGTAGTGTAGTAGGGTGCCGCTCCATTGCCAAGTCCTGGAGGGTGGACTATGGTATGGAACTCTTTGAGATGAGTATGTCCCAATTGCCAGGGAGTTGCTTCCGTAAGGGACTCCAAAACGCCAACTGCAACTGCAAGGCCCAGACGGGACCACTTCTTGTGCTTTGGAGATTGTAGCAAGTAATCACAGATATCCAGCGCCCTCTTCTTGGCTTCCGGGATTTGAAGGCAAGGGACAGCTGTGGTGTCAAAGAGGTAACCACAGTATTTGATGACTTGCTGAGGTGGTACCAATTTATTTAGATGAAAGAGGAATCAACAGTCAACTGCCGTGTCCAAGAAGAATTGCAGCCCTTGGGCTGTCTTTTTGTCCGTGGGCCCATGGATGAGGAAATCGTCTACCCATACCCAGATGTGCACAGCTCCTCCATCGTTGGAGGTCAAGATGAATTCATAACCAAGCTGTGGATCAAATCCATTGTCTTGTAGACCTGTCCAGTAGCAGTTAGCTCTGGCTTCACCTTGGAAAACGCCAAATTTCTCCTTCACAAGTCGTACAAAGGCGAGACCGATCCGGCAGGCAATGGCTGGACTGTTTCCGGCCCCCATAGCTAGTCCATAGTAGGTCAGTAGCTCTTCGGTCTTAGGATGCAGGAGACCAAGGTACGGTCGGTCCTCTGGATGTGTCGGAAAATTGTAAAAGAACTTGGACAGGTCAACCACTGCAGAGTATCCTTCAGTGTACTTTTGGTCCACAATGTGGGCTATCCTGGGCATGAAGACAGGGTCCTGCCCAACACAATCGTTCTGACCACCTTGTAGCATGTCAGAAATTACCCGCCATTGTCCAGGTTGGCCATCCTTCCCGACAACAAATAAAGGGGCATTGGTGAGGACAGTGAGTCCTTCATCGATGCTTCGAAGTACCCCAAGTTCAACAAGTTCGTCCACAAATTGGATAGCAGCCTTCAGCACTTCTTCATCCATTGGAGGGTTGGGTCGGAGACAAGGATCTGGCTGTTTCAGGAAATTTTGGCGCGCCCCATTTCACAACTCCCACCATACAAGTTGCAGTCATTTGGGGGCCGGTCCCTCCGAGTTGTAGTTGTTCCGGTGGACGGCTAGTCGTTGGACGCCATCCCAGTAGATGTTGTCCGGTTCAGGATAATGATCAGCGGCCCAGCGGAGGTTGGCCAGTTGTAGTGTGTGCCAGGGGCTACCAGGAGAAAGGTCTAGGGGATGCCAATCAAACACATTGTTGTTGAGGGTGGTGTTTGCCCCGGACAAGTTGTTCCCGGTCTTTGGTCCCTGTGTTGTTCTGGTGGGCGTAGCAGTCGGGTGGCTGAACAAATGTTGTAGTGAGAAGGAGATGTAACCCCAACCCTGAAGTAGTTCGTTGGGGGCTCTTGTGTGACAGTTCAGTTTTGTAGCCTTTGGAGATGCCCAGTCCCCGTGCAACTTCTTCCTTCAGGAGCCGCCGAACTCCCTTCTCGGTTTGGATCCATGCTCCTATTTGGTTAGGCATGGGGTCGTGGAGGGAGTTGGGTGAATGTGTACTGCTGGGTTGGGAGTAGGAGTTGCGCGGTACCAATCCCGGAGGAGTGAGAAGATTTCCCATAGGTTGGATCACTGACAGAACCCAATCTAAACTGTCCCATGTCCATTGTGCTCGACAATCAATTCTTGTCCGAACCACCAGTAGCCGTTCTTGGGTGATGGCACCTCCTATCGATGTTGCCTTGATAGTACAACAATTGATATTGTAGCCCGTTTCTCTCCATCTAGTAGTTGTAGGTTTGCTTGTTGGTCCGTATTGCCACAACGTTGGGTCAGAGCGCCAGGATTCAATGACAACCTTGGGCCTGTGTTTGGGAGGCACAGAATCCACCATGTCCTCCCATGGTTCTCGCTTGGGGCCGCCACTTGGTCGTGTGTAGTGGCTTTTCTCGATCACCAAAAGATCCACCGGGTGAGTGTCAAGGAGCCCCTTCTACTGACGGTGGGGTCCATAGAGCACCACTGGTGGGTCTCCAGTCTCAAGTCTGTTGGAACAGTCTCCCCATTTTCTCGGATGGAGAATGATGTTACCTTCATCTTTAGCCATGCATAGCGCATGACTTCACATCCATCTCCTATTATGCCCAGGGTTTCCAGTCCTACCAAAGTTGTTGCAGCTACCTTACAAATCTCTATTCCCACTGTTGCCCCACTTGCAAGAATACAAACAGAACAGTCAGCTATAACAGATTAAATTGATATTGCTTTCACAAGTGTGGTGGTGGTGGTGGTGGTGGTGGTGGTGGGTGTTGATTGTAGGTGGCAATTCGGATGATGAGTGACTGCTTCATTTGGCTTGATGTGCAATGTGTGCATTGTCCCCAAAGTGGAGACCTTTCCTTCGGAATGGTGGTCCCCAAAGTAGACGGCCTTTCGGCCGCCCCTTCGGATTTGTTCCCAGAGTAGACCAAGCGGTCCCTCAGGAATTTTGCTCCGGAGTATACCACATGAGTGGCACCTCCGGTGGTTGCCGGTTTCTCCCCCGGCCTAGGATTTCTTGCACCAGTTGTCCGAGACTTCCTTGATAATATCTCCAACCGGGCGCTCCTTGGTGGCCAAGACGGCAGTGGCAACTTGTTCCGCCACGACCTTGCCCCGTGAGCCGGCATGCCCTGCCAGGGGGCAGACAGTCTTGTTGTGTTCAAGTTTCAAGGCAGTGTGCAGAATGCAACTCTTGCATTGAGAACACTTCTTGAGGGTCGAATCTCCTTCCTTATTCTTGTCCTTGGTAGGTTCCCGGCCTCCTCGACCTTTGGCCGCCGGAAGGGATTCCAACTCCCTTTGGAGCTTCTGGTTTGTCTTGTTCACGCGTTCAATGTTTGTTCTCCTTGATGGTGTTGCTGCCAAAATCTTTCTTGCAGGCATCGCGTAGGTAGATGTAATTCTGGAGGAGCAACATCTTCTTACTGTTGGGGTTTGTGCGGATGTCCAGGAGATTCTCTGAGTGGACCTGGAGTATGACATAGGCCTTGGAGTCTTCCCAGGCTTCATCTGCGCCCATATCTTTGTGGCAGATCTTGTTGTTGAGAAGAGCCAAGAAGTTGATGTAGGTTTCCTTGATGATGCGAGGCATCAGACCTCGCTCAACGTAGTCTTCCACAAACTCAGTAGAGTAGCCTAGTTGGACCAGGTAGTGCAAGAACTGGAAGCGTTGGTTCTTGAACGTATCTTCTTCTTTCTTGAGGATCTTCTGGCAGGCTTCGTGAAGTTTATTGCTGCTGGTGATGAGGCCAAGCCCGTGGCGACTTTTGCGACAATAACCCATATCTAGCAGGGCGATCTTGGTACTGTCCGACCCAAAAGTTTCTAGGAGCTGGTTCATCACTTCCTCACCTGCTCCACCACTTTCACTATCACCCCCACCTGGCGAGCACTTACCTGGTAATGCCGCCATATCGCTTGCTCTGCCCCACAATCCTTTAATGGCGGCGTTCTTGAGACCCTCCGGCATCATTGCTCGATCAATATCGAAACTGGTAATAGAAATCCCATGAATTTCTTCCTCATTGCCTTTAGAACTGTCCGCTTGATAACTCTTGATTGCAGCTTCATGGAAAGCCGGCCTCGGGGATGCTTCCAATATTGCTGGAGACATCGATGCTGAAAGGTGGGTAGGATTTGTGCTGAGTGGCCTGGTCCCGTCTACCAGGGTTGGACCAGAAGGGGGTGGTTGCTCCTGTCCCATGTTAGTAGCGGCCAGTCGAGTTCTTGCTTCCTCTTGTTCTTGTTCCATTTGTCTGGCCGCAATGCTCATCTTATCAGCCGAGTCCTGAAGCTTTACAAAGTAGGGGTGGATGGCTTCAAGAACAGATTGGAGGATGGGCTGATTGTTCTGGGCTTCAGCAGCCGCTAACTCCGGTTCGAGTATTCTGGCGGTTGTAGGTGGCTTGGGTGGAGACTTCAGAGTGTTTTTGCCCTCTTCAATAGTGACTTGTTTGGGTGCAGCTCCCTTCAGTGTCTTCTTCCTTGCAATGGGAACTTTTCGCTGGGAGGTAGCCCTAGGTTTCTTCTTAGTTGGGGTGTGCTTCTTCTTGCAAGGAGAACGGCTTGCTGCCTTTGCTTCCAGTCTTGCCTTCTCCGCTTTCAGCTTCTTCAATTTTGCCTCTTCGATCTCAGCGATCATTTCATTGATCCGGTCAAGGTCGTCTTGATGGTCGTCGTCTGAGACGTCCAAGAATTGTCCATCAGATTCCACATCGCTAGTATTGCTCTTCTTCTTCGTCCGAGATGGATAGCATCTCATTGGAGGCTTGGTTGAGATGCTTGTCCATTTCCTTCTCGGTCCGACAATAACCATATTGTTGACCATGAACAATAAATTCTCCCGTTTCCTTGTCAATGTCCTTGGTAGATGGGACTCCTTCATACCAACGTGGGGCTGCTCGTTCGCCACTGCTTCGACGTTATTTGTGGAGCCGGAGTTGGCACTTGTTCTTCAGCTTCCCACATATGATCTTGTCTTGCTTGCTGGTTGCCGTGGGTCCGACATATTTAACTTGACAGTGGTCTGTTGTGAGATGGACCCAAGCGTTGAGTGGGACCTCTCTTTCTTCGTCATAATCAAAACTCAGCTTGATCTTCAGGTTCTGAATCTTCTGGCTCGGTGTCGGGTGGTGGTCCTCGAGGATTCCTTGAAGGGGCTCCGTCTGAAAGCGTAGCATCGTGGTCTGACCGGGCATCTTCGCTTTCATCACTGTCAATTTCAAATTGGCGATATCTCGCCGGTTGGGTCAAGGAAACGGCCGAAGCCGTTCTTGTCGAATGAGAATGACGAGAAATGGCGGAGGTTACGCTGTCTCCCTTGCGACTCACGCCCGTGCTGGATGCGTCGGAATGTACGGTCTCCACTGGTTCTCTGGTCCCTTCACGCGTCTGAGCACGAGTTCGTCCCGTATTGGGGGAAAAGAAACGTCTGACAGGCTCATGATGACACTCCTCTCCCCTATAACTCAGATTCTTGTCTAAAAATCACCTTACCCCCTAAATTTCTACCTATTGCTGGAGTCTCAAGGTGTTTTGCTCAAGTTCCAAGTTGGATTGAGTTGTGTGCTTTTTGATGCAGCTGCAAGTCATTCCGATTCGGGGCTTTTCACAGGCATTCCTCCAGCTTCGTACTTTGTACGTTCACTTTCCTACGGTGGTCATTCAAAGTATTCATGACCACCGGAATCTGGAATTCTTCTTCTCTCTTTCTTTCGTAACCTTTCTATACGGTCAGCTGGGTACAGTAGAGTTCAGGACACATAAAAAATAACGTCATCTACCGTACTATTATTCGACATGAAGAACAAAATATAGACCCAACGGAGATGCAACTTGTCATTGCTGCTTGGTGCTTCACCTTCTTATCCACCAATGCCTCAACACAAAGGTTGAATCAGTTTCCGAACGAAGCAGGCAGTACCACCTTTTCAAGTCGACTTTCAGCAAAGGCAAAACGAAACAGGAAAGCATCCAACAAGTCGTCGTCGTCATCGTCATCGTCCAACAAGAAGTCAAAATCTGGCTCTACAAAGCTTCCACGTGTCATCATTTTCGATCTAGACGGTTGCCTATGGAGGCCAGAGCTCTTTGAACTCGTGACAAATGCGGATGGTCCACCATTTACCCATGATCCACAAGATAGTAGTAGTACTGTCGTTCCAGCAGGAACCACCCTGTTGTCAAAACAAGGCCAACGCATTGAACTGTTGGGATCCACTCGTCAGATTTTACATGAGCTATATACTCAAGAAGAATGGTATCTCACTCGAATCGGCAACTCCTCGCAAACAGATCCACCTGAATGGGCGTACAATCTGATGGAGATGTTTGCTATCTATGAGGACAACGACGATGACGACAGCAACAAGAATCGAATGACAAAGACTCCAACGGCGACGATCCCAGCAGTGACTTGCCAAATGAAGGATGTCTTTGATCCTAGCCTCTGCATACTCGATAAGAATGCAGACAAGGCAACACAGTTTGAACGACTATTAGAGCAGGCGAATGATCAAAGTACGAGCAACAACCACAAGCGACTTCAGTTCAAAGACATGGTATTTTTCGACAATGAAGCCGGAAACTGCAAACA